CAGTAGCTCAGATTATTCAGACTTCATAGTGTGAGTCAACTTACTTAATGCTCACAATCAGCTCACGCACGGAAGAAGAAACCGATGCGTAACGTTCACACAAGTAGCAGTGGCAAAGCCCAGGCTTCAAACCCAGGTCTGTCTAAAGTCAGAGCGCCATGCCCACTGATAGCGGGCCTGCCCCCCCTGCCAGGCCCCATCACTACTCACGGTTACAGCTTAGCCCTTGTTTGCCGAGACTAATGCTGGTCTCACACAGGTTGCAGTAGACTGGCCGGGGGAACCGCTTGGGTCTCCACATATGCTGCCCGTTGTCCTTCAGAGTCTGGGCGGGCAGAGCAGAGGTTGGGAAGGCCAATCTCTGGCAAGTTCAGCCCAAGGCAGCTGTCTCACCCATCCTCATAAAAGTCTCTCCTTCTTACCATCTCCAGGCCCAGCAGCACGAGCAGTGGCACGGTGGTGGCCCCAGCCCGGAGCCACTCCGTTAGGGAGACGGAGCCACTGCCATCATAGTCGATGTCTTTCATCATCTGCTGAAGGATCTGAGCAGAGAATAGGGGCGGGGGGGGGAGCGTTGGATGTGAGTGGTCTCACTACTGTCCCGTGAGACACCCGGTTCAGCCATCCTAGCCAAGAAACCAGGCTATCTGTCCGAGGCAGAGTAAGGCAGATGCAGGTCCCACCGGGGCAGAAGGTACAGGAAGAGACACGAAGGAAGAACTAACTACCTTACCGGCCTCAGCTCAGACACATCCCAGTCCAGATATTCAGCCACTCGCATCATCTGTATAATGATTTTGTCCACTTCCTGGGGGAAACAGAAGCAAGACCCAACTGCCATGGCCTACTTCACAACCAGCAAACTCCTTCCCCTCCAGAAGTGAGGGTCTCCAGGTCCCACCCCCATCCACCTCTTATTCTTTGGTGCCTCTGGCAAGAACGTGTGTATCTCTCTACTCTTGTATGTTTGCAAGGCAGCCCCCAATGTGTGTCTCCAGACTCCTCTTTGGGGGATCAAAAGCTTGGGACCTACTCTCCCCTAGCCGCCTCTCCTTCTTAAGATCCTGGAACAGGAGGACACAGACAAATGGACACATACTCCCTTGCCCAACATACAGGTCCCCCACTCACTGAGCTGTCCAGGATCCCATTTCTGTCCGTGTCGTACAGCTTGAAGGTGACTGTGGGGTGTTTTAGGGGGGCCAGGGTCAGTTTGTGATGCTTACCCAAAGAACGAATACCAGAATATAGGGAAATAAAGAGAAAGGGAGAGATCTATTGGGCGAAGAGCCCAGAGGTTGGGAATGAAAACAGACACACAAAGGGAGGGGAACGAGGCCTGAATTCCCCACATGGTCACAAAGGTGATAAGGTGGGTGGCACACATCTCCCACATCCCAAGAATCTCCCAAGCCACCCGCAAGACTGTGTGCAAGGCCTGGGAATCAGCGGGATTGAAATGGATGGAATTAAGTATCCGAAGTCTAGGGGAACAGAGGAAAGGGGCTCATTCTCCGCCTCCACCTTGCTGAGCCCAAGACAGCCTTTAGGAACCCTGAGAAAATGAGGGAAGGGAGGCTGGAGATCACGCCTCTCTTTCCACCCCCACCCCCACCCCCTTCGCTTTCCAGCCCAGATACCCATCTTGGGAACTCACATTCTAGCTTGTCTTCTGGCTGGCCACCCTCCAGGAGGGAAAAATAGCAGGAGACATCACTGAGACACACCACATCTGCTTAAAAAATAGTACAGCAAAACTGGGAGTGGGGCTCCCTTCACCCTGGCTCTTCTCTTCCGCTTTGTTCTACTTCTTCCCTTTAACTTCCCCCCTCTAGCTCCTAGGTCTGCCTAGTCACCTTCCACCTCTCTCCTCTGACCCTGCTCCCAACATGTGACTTAATCTGACCCTCATCCCAAACCCACACGAATCCAATTTATCGTCCAGAGATCCAGCCCAGTCCCTTTTATATGACCATACCTTCATGCACAGTCTCATCTAAGCAGTGAGCAGTCTGGAAGGATTGAAACAGTGCGTTGCTCAGGTTATTGGGCACATTATCTACTTCCAGATAGATTTTCAGGAATTCCCGGAATCCCATGTAACCAATGGCCTAAGATGAGAGTGAGTATTACCATGGGGAATCAGCAGGGTCGGAGAACTGAAGAATTGGAAGTAGTAAGGGCAGGGACAATACGTGCACAGCTGAGAAGCATTGGAAGCAGGCACGTGGCTTCTTGGGCCAAGTCCTCAGTTAATAGAATCTCTTGCTCTGTCCTCAAGCAGTAGCTGCAGTGACAATGGGATGCTGGGGTATCTAGGCCAGCGACAACAAGGGGCAGACCCAGATCCATCCCTGAAGGTTGGAGGTGCCAAAGGAGCAGAGAAAGCAAAGATGGGAGGAGTTGGCTGAAGAGGATTTCCCAGCTTCTACTCACATCTCCTTTGAGATAGTAAGCCAACTCGCCATCCTCGGAGAAGAGCTGTAGCACATCACTGACCTTTTTGGTGGAATCTAGGGTGTGACGAGCGGGGAGAAGAGCATCAGGGCAGCTCTCCCCGCTGTCTGCCAGAAACCAACCCACCTAGCCAGCAGGAAAGGCAGATTCAAGTGAGACGGAGGGAGAAAGAAGACCGCCCCAGAGAAGTTCACAGAGAAAAACCCACCAGACCCCCCACATGACACCCCACTCCTCTTCTCAGTAACTTAGAGCAGGCAATCAAGGAACAGGGAACATGGGCAGAGAGTTGGGATTCAGCTCCCTCTTCATAGTCACCCCCTTCCTGCCCCAATCCAGGGCCTAGCAGGGGAACTAACTGGCTCCAGGGCACTGGGGTCCTGGGGCAAGAGATAATGAGGAGGAGCTAGTGCTAGTCTCTACCAAAGAGCGCTGGGGCGGAAGGACAAGGAGAAAGACTCACATTCCAAGTATTTCTGCAGCTGGGCAAAATCGCTGGGGCTTATTAGGCCCCTTGCTTTGGACATCTTTCTATTTTTCCTCAAAATGGTCAAAAAAGAGATTTTATAGTACCACTGGCGCGGGGTCTTGAACCTCGGAGAGTATTTCTAGAAAAAAAATGACAAGAGCAAGTGGCGGGAAGAGCCTGCTGTCTGCACCTCTTGGCTACATTCGTTCTCCATCGCACTATCGTTGCTTCCCCCCTCTGTATTTCGTGGGCAGAGGCCTTCCCCAAGCCTCTTCCTTTCTCTGCTTCTCTCCGCTGTGTTTCCATCGCGTCTAGAGACATCTCCCCTGACTCTCTTCTTTCTCTGACCCCTCTCCATCTCTGGATCCTTCTGGGGCTCTCTGACTTCTATCAGAGAGAATCTCTCTCGATTCATCTCACACCATCCTCACCTCCCATGCCCACCTTCACCCCCGCTTCCCCAGTGCCAATGTTTCTGAGCTTCTCCCCCAACCCCCGGGCCCTGCAGCCTCGGCGAAGGCCGCGGTCTCCCACCTGCCGCTGCCCAGCGGTCCGGACCCTGCGGGTGGTTCTCCCGGCGTTGGCGGTGCGCCTCCCGGGCCACGCCCCCATCTTGCCCCGCCTCTAGGCTCGGCCACCCACGCCCCCGGCAACGACCTCTAGCGCTTCTGACGCGAGACACAGAACTAGCTCCGGTCCAGTCCCTAGCCGTGGGCCACGCCTTACCTCCGCCCCGCGCCGCCGGAACCTGGGGTAGCGGGGAGAGGCAGGGAAGGGGCTGGAACAGGACCCAGGGAGTTGGGTGCTGGTAGAGGAAGGCCATAGGCGCCCCTCTGGTTTCCCAGGCCCGGGAGGATGGAGCTGAGCATAGAAATCCCACGCTCAGGTCTCCTATTGTGTCAGTGTTTTGAAAGACCCAACTTTGAGCTGTCAAACTTAGGGACCGAGGTGGATCTGCCCCATGGATTCTAGCGACCACTGGGCTATATATAGGCCAAGATGCACAAGACAGCTGGGCCTGGTAATTCAATAACAACAATAACAATAATTATAAATCTCAGCATGGTTTGGGAATCAAACTAGCCCCAGTCACACCTGGGTTCCAACCCGAGCCCTGAGATTACTTTGTGACCCTTGGCCAAGTTACAACAGTAAAATGGGAGAGAATGATTCCTCTCTTTTCCGGTGGTGAAGCTACAGTTGAGTCATCTATGGAAAAAAACACCTGTCACCCAATATAAACAACATACCACGTCCAATGCTGTCCAGGGTGATTCTGGTCCCTAGGTGGCCCAGGTGGTTGGCCCTCTACTGCCAACGTAAAGGTTGGAGGTTGGAGATTACGACCTTCCCAGGAGCACCATACATGGGAAAAACAATAATGAAAAACAAAAACCTAGTGATTTACTTCCACTAAGATATTTGTAAACACACACACACATTTTTTGTTGCTGCTGTTAGCCGCTGTCAAGAGGACTCAGACTCATGGTGACTAGTTCAGCCAAAAAAAAAACCCCAGGGAGCCATCTACTCTAACACATGGAGGGCCCGGTACACATCTAAGAATAACATGATGGAGTAAGTGGTAGTAACTATTCACAAATGCAGATCCTGAGAGAGCGCAAGTTTTGGCATGTCCGTGTTACAGAGGGTGAAACTGGAGCTCTGAGAGGCCGGTGACCTCCTCGTGGAGGTGGCTAGGTTCCTGCTCAAAGGCCATAGGGTAGGGCCTTCCACTTTCTCTCTGGGCTCCTTTTGTTCCACTTTGTCCTTGACACACTGCCTCCTAGTGTCACTGGCCTCCTTTCTGTTCTTCAAGCACTAGCTCGCCAAGATCTAACTTTCCCCGGGGACATGACACTCACTGTCCTGTCTGCCTGGAACCCTCTTCCCCACTTTTGGCAGGTCTAACTTCCTGCCTCACCTCAAAGGTCAGCTCCTCTGACTATGCTGTCCACAGCACCTCCTTTTGTCTCCTTCACTGAGCTCACCAGCATGAGACATTTTCCTGTTAATTTACCTGCTTCTTTGTTTTTCCTGTTTGCCATCCAAACCTAATTTCTACAAGGGCAAGAGTTGGTTGTTCTTGTTCACCATGGGTCCCCCTTACCCTCGCATGTAGAGGGTGCTCAATATTGGTTGTACAAATGGAGTCATATTATAGGAATATTAATCCAAATCTGGTTAAGTGGGATGCCACAAAATCCCTCCTGACAGGGGAATCAAGTAACGTGGGGACACATAGGAGGTGCTAAATAAATCTTTGATCAATGAAGGTATGATTTGGGGGGAGCACTTATTGAGCTACTCCATCTACAGCTCTGACCTTCTGCCTCCCTCCACCCACTCACTTAGGGCTCATGGGACCAGGTGCAGGGAGGCAGTTAGGAACTAGAATAGCCCAGCCCCTTTCCTTTAGGATGGATGGCGTGAGAGCCTTTTCTGAAGCTCTAACTTTGGGGCATCTCTGCTGCCCACTTCTGCACAGTACCCATGTCTGTTCTGAGGGGCCTCTGAGGACACTTAGACGGTTCTCTGGGACACTGGAGAGAGATACCAGTGTCCTTTTCAGCTGGCCCTTTTCAATGACTATAATCCAACTTCTGCTGCTAATCAACTTAATGAATCCATAATAGTCTTATGAGCTAATGAGGCCTATATAGCTTATTAGCCTCTCTGATTACCTTTGGGGATTTTTAGATGACTCCAAGGTCCTGGGAAATGGAAGCTGAGGGAGAGAGTGGCAGGGAGGAAAACAAAGGGCACTTTGTTTTGTTTTTCATCTGTCTCTCTTTTCACAGGGGCCCAATGCTTTCTTTCTTGTTTCTTTCAACCCCTCCAGGTGTCTTAGACCTTAGAAAAACCAGTCACGATGTGGGGATTAACTAAGATCATGGATGCAATGTGCTTTTCAAGTTACATGGCACAGAGTTAGAGCTCAATAAAATGTTAGCTGTCACTATTATAAGGTGGTCTCTAGAGGAACACACCTGGAAGTGAGGAAACATTATGTCTGTGGCCCAGGAAGGCAGCACGTCCAGGAACTCACATTACAGCAAAGCCCTGTTGCACATACAAACCTCTTCTCCCCCATTGTGTCACACCAGGATCCTGCACTATGCCACTGGGACGGGGAGGAGGTGACTGGATCCTAGGCTGTCAGGGGTCAAAACACCCCTGGGCTGGGATCGTGGACAGAAGGACTCCTGGCATATTTTTTTATTTATGCTCCTGACCTCTCCTCGAAAGTACAGCTGTCCCTGCAGTTCAAGGGCAGCAGACTAAGGGATCCTGTGGCCCTGAATACCTGGAACAAGTTGTGTTTTGTCCTCCAGCTCTATCCCCACCCCGGAGCTACAACCTGGGCCAGTCTAGGCAAAGGGCAGGGCTAGGCGGGCTGGGTCTGCTGCTTCCCAATAATTATTTGTGACTCATCCTTCCCTCCCCTCTTCTACCAGTTTGGGGTGAGAAAGAAAGAAGTTCACTTGGAGACAAAGAATCCTGGCACAGCCAAATCTGCTATTTTAGAGGAGGAAACTGAGGCCCAGAGAGGGAGGGGCTTTCTCCAAGTTACAGCCTGTCTCCAGACACAGTCTCTGGTCTATCCCATTCCATTTTAGCTCCTCTCTAGATCACATTTTAAACATTAAATACTAAAATTGCTGGTAACCAAGAGAGAGATGGTATTTCCAAAGTCCGCGCTAGCATTTAAAGTTTCCGTTTGTTTTTCTTTCTTCGACCGTCATTGCCCACACTCCAAGGCAGACAAATGAACCAGCTCTGCCCTCCAAACAGTCAGGGGGCCCCAGCAAAGAACCCCACGGGGCAAGTTTGAGGGCCTTCCATCCCTAACTCCCCCATCAGCCTGTACCCTACTTTTCCTTGCTTATTCTTGTTACTAGCCAGTGGCTTTGAGAAGGAATCAGTTGGTTTAAGCCACAACACTTAAGCCCTGGCTGACATCAAAGGCATTGTCCGTCCTGTTGCCTGGCTATGCGGGTAAGGGGTGTGGGTGTGGGGGGCTGGTGTCATTGCCCTAGTCCAGGAGGAAGTTAAGGTGCTGGCAAGATTGAAGGTGTGAGCTCATGTGCTCTGAGGCTGGGATGTCCAATCAGTTTTACATTTCTTTCTACATCAGGATCAGTTAAAAGATGAAAAGTCGTTTCGGAAACTCCCCTGTGACAGGTGTGGAGAGGATGGGGGTGCAGGAAGCTGGGGAGCAAGAGGCCAGACGAAATACCTACATACTTCCCCACCACCCCGCACCCCGGTGCCGCGCTGTGGCGGATCCACGCGGACTTCCCCCGGGGATCGCAGCCCCTGCGAGGCAAACTGCAGCTCCCGGGAC